TGTTCGTTTTAGAAAAAATCAAGTTTGGAAAAATGCAAAAAAAATTGCTGATACAACTATGTATAATTTTATATATAATTATATATAAACAATTCTTTTACATTCCTCTAAACTTGATTTTTTCTAAAACAAACAATGCGAAAATTTTCCTTTTAATTATTTTTGATGTTTTCTCATTATTATTATTATTTTTACACTAAAAAATAATTTTACAAATGAAAAAAGGATGGCTGCGTTCAGAAATGTCGCTCGAATGCCTCCGATTCATCATTTATCGTTTAACATTTAAAGAAGAACAGATGACGAATCGGAGGCATCCGAGCGACGTTTCCAAACGCAGCCGATGTATGAACATGTGTGGACATATATATCTCATATATAATTATACAGGGTGTCCCATTTTAATTTTCCCAGACAACTATCTCGAAAAATATGGAAGAAATAGAAAAATGTTTCAGACAAAGTTGCATAGTTTAGAGGGAGTCACATTTTGGTCATGTTGTCTTTCTTTTGGGTAGAGGCGCCAAAAAAATATGAAGGTCTCCTCCACTTTTTTAAATGGAATTGTATAATTTTTTTACACAATATGATTCCTTTAATTATTCTGCATATAAAAGTGTTAAGGTATATAATATAAAAAAACCATTAGTTTACGAGATATTTTATACTTTATTCCGGCACATATTGATATAAAATATTAAATAACTCGTAAACTATATATATATATTAATTTTATGATAATCGTACCTTAATACTTTTATGAACAAAATAATAAGATGAATCAATTATTCATTTCTTATGGCTTAAGGCTTAAAAATCTATTGTAGATCTAGGCTTACGCATACGTTATGCGACTATGTGAGTTTGTGTGGTTATACCCTTACGGTACGTCTTAAGCGGAGAGCACAGACTCTTGCATAACGCATAACATACAAGGCATAAGAAATTCAACCAGTCAGAGTCCTTTATTTCATGGAAAGGAAGGAAACGAAGGAGTTTGGTTCATTTTCTTATGCATTACGCTTTATGCAAGAATCTGTGCTCCCCGCTTTAGGGTATATCCACACAAACTCGCATAGCCGCATAAATGTATGCATAAAGAAAATTATCTAATCACATTTTACATGCGTCTTTATAAAAGAAATACGTATATGCGATTGCTGATTGGATAATTTTCTTCATGTATACGTTTATATGTGGCTATGCAAGTTTGTATGAATATATCTTAAGAAAAATGACTTTTAATGATCATTTTGGAGTCATTTTGACATCATTTTGATATCATAATGACTTGTTGTCCTGTGTGTGTTTGGATACGATCCTCTTAAAGTTAAAGTAACGTTGGTGCAATATTAAACTTAAAAGCTTTTCAAATTAATAAAAATAAATGATTTCTTTCTTAACAAAATTAACTGACTTCTCAGACAATATCCCAGATAGTACAAATGATTATTACAAATTCGAAAGAAGATTCATTTTTTTATATTCTTTATAAATTAACGTGATTTGTTCGAAATAAGTTGAAAAAAGTCGAAAAAGAACCGCTTACTCGCGAGTTTACGCAACATTGCCGATAGATGGAGACAGTGGAATTTTATTTCTCGTAGAACTATATTTATAAATCGGGGATTTGAAAAGAATTATTTTTTAAATTCTTTGTACTGTCTGCAAGAATTCGTATTATTTTGTTAACATATTATATTATTAAGATTTTATTGTTTAATACTAAAAAAAAATTAGAAATAATAATTTTGAAACAAATGATACAGTCACAGGAATTTTACTATGAGCAGAATTCTGCTGGATAAATTAATTATTGATGCAAAAGTTGATCGAAGTTCGACCGATCCATTCATTTCTCTAACCTTGGATTTTTTTTATCCTTGTTTATAACGTTTAATGAACAAGAATAAAATTATGTGCAATATACGCTTTAGGGTATATCCATACAAACTTGCATAGTTGCATAAACGTATGCATAAAGAAAATTATCTAATCACATTTTACGTACGACTTTATAAAAGAAATGCGATTAGATAATTTTCTTTATGCATATGTTTATGCGGCTATGCGAGTTTGTGTGGATATACCCTTAGGATCTATCCAGCGACAAATTTGCATAATAGCCTCCCCAGTGAGAAATGACAATGGAATCGACGTCGATTCGATGATTTCGACGTCGAATCGACATCGATTCGACGTCGATTCCATTGTCATTTCTCACTGGGTCATAAACGTATGCATGAATTATTCAATCGAATTTTACATATGCGTCATTATAAAAAAAATATAATTAGATAATTTTTTTATACATACGTTTATGCGGCTATAATGCATAAACAAAATTATCCAATCGCATTTCTATTATAAAAACGCACCTAAAATGCAATTGGATAATTTTCTTTATGCAGCGCTATGCAAGTTCGTCGCTAGATAAACCTTTACGGCACCCAAGGTAAGTTACGTCGCTGGTGCGCGCTACTAGTGTCCCTAGAAGGTACCTTCTAGGGACACTACGCGCCACTAGCTCACCGAGTCACCGCTGGCGTACGTGACAAACGTCGAAAATTCGAATCTCGCACGCGTCAGACAGGTGGCGCTCCGGTCGCGCGACCCAATCTGGAGTTGAGCTGGAACGCCACCTTACCGTACACGTCCGGACGACGCGCGACTCGAAGCATCGGCTACAACGACGGTGTGCGTGTGTGTTTTCGGAAATTGTGGTATTCACGTTAGCGTTTCACGGACGATGGTATTGATACAGGAGAGGTGATCCCCAGGTTTGTCAGATGTAAGCACCGCTCGTTTTTGCGATCCAAGCGCGACAACGCCGCTCCTGTCCACCCGTTTATCTCGCCGTTCCGATGCTACTACTGAACTCGCACAAACATGCCTCCGCGTCCATCACAGCCACTGACGCATGTATATCGGATAATCGTTGAGAAAAAAACAGTCATTTCGCGCGGCGAAACGAACGGATGTCGAGTGTATCGGATGGATTGTCCGTTACAAAAAAGTATCCACCCGAGGGAATCCTGGCAACAATAGATAACTACCATTTTGTTTATAGACTCCTTCCATCACCACCACCACCACCACCACCGCCACCGCCACCGCCACTAACGACACCCTTCCCCCTCACTTCTTTTTCATTGTAATTTCTAATTTCTGTCGTACTACACTTCTTATTTGGTATATCATTGACCACGTTCGATTTTTTACATTTTTGGTTTTTCCTGTCTTCCTCATTGCCGCCTCAACTTGTTTTTTCGTGTCATCCTGTGCATCGGATGCAGCCGCTGTTTATTTACGCAAGTCGCACATGGGCGTCCTACTTAGATCTTGAACGCGGGATTCACGTGCGGGATGTTTCTGTCGAAGACTGAATGAGAAACAGCGTGATAATAATTCATATATTGTACGCTGGTTTTTAACACTTGCCGGGAATATCGTGTCGGTCCGGCCAAAAATATAATTAACATACAAGCGTGATTCAATACTATCCCGATGAAGCGTCACCCATCGAGCCATCATAAAGCGCGACATTTCTTACGCTCGGTTCTTAGGAAATGTAATAAATTGTCGTTTCACTGATAAAATTACTCACGAATTGATTGAGTGTCTTAAAATATCAATCTTTTAACTAAAAAAAATGGAGTGAAGAAAGAATACGTAAAAATTCTTAAGCCATGCATATACTACACATTTTTTTATTAAAAAGATACAAACGTATTATTATTTCTGTAGAATAATGCCTTTTTAAACGTATTTTTGAAATTTTTAAGTCAATTTCGTGAGGAATTAAATAAATCAATAAGGAGTACGTTGTATTATAGATTAAATACGCTGTATATATGTTCTTTTTTATTAAACACATTTTTTGTTTTTTGAAGTCTGAAAGTAAAAATTGCTTGAAACGTATGCATTTGCTTGGTTGTTCATACTTTGTATTTTTGTAATTATAATTGATCCCAGAATTAACTAATTAAATTTTTTTATAATAAACACAGTATATAAAATATTAAGTGTAGTATAAAATGCAAAATTTTAACATAATAAAGTGATTGTTCTGCATCAATATAATTCTGTTATGTAATTGAAAGAATGTGTTTCATCATCTCACTATACTTCTATAATCATGTCCTACAAATTTTGGTAATTTTAATATCTTCAAGATATCTATGCTTTACACAGTCTTATTGCATAGTTTATTTATGTATTATGATTTAATTGAAAAGATAGAAGTGAAAATTATATATTTTGCTTTGGTATTTATAAGACGTTAAAGTCTTTTGCCATCAATAAAATCCAGTAATTATTGCAAGAATTATTGCTATATATCAGTACCCATATAGCATGGCAATAATTTCAACATGTTGTTGCACTATTGCTAAAATGTTTTATGCTATCTGGGTATTATGTTTTTCTAATGCTTGACCCTTAAGCGCCATGAGAACAATATAGTTTCCAGATAGCAAGATGACGTTATTTGTCATCATTTTGATGTCAAAATAACGACAAATAATATCAGCTTGCTTAGGATCTTTAAGCGCCACCCTATGAGAACAATATAGTTTCCAGGGAGCAAGATGACGTTATTTGTCATCATTTTGATGTCAAAATAACATCAGCTTGCTGGGATCTTTGAGCGTCACACTATGAGAACAATATAGTTTCCAGGGAGCAAGATGACGTTATTTGTCATCATTTTGATGTCAAAATAACATCAGCTTGCTGGGATCTTTAAGCGCCACCTTATGAGAACAGTATAGTTTTCAGGGAGCAAGATGACGTTATTTATCATCATTTTGATGTCAGAATAATGACAAATAACATTAGCTTTCTGGGAAGTATATTGTTCTCAGTAGGTTTCACAGTGTGATGCTTAAGAGTATGGCACACCGAATCCAATTCGATTGTTTATAACTTTCGTAAAATTAACATTTTATAAACAATTTGTTTTTCAATCAAAATGCCAGACATTAAGGAGCACACTAAGCAAATATGTATATGTATCTTTATTACTAAAAAAAAGTTATAAGTAATGAAAAAAGTCAGGTATTCCAACTGAAAGGGCATTTAAGGGGGTTAAAGAGAGATTCTTCCTTTCTTATCTGAATATCAAATTATGTGTATGTTTTTGTAAGCTTTAAATATAAAATGCAACATTATACATGTAAAATTGCTACACTTAATTCGATTATGGAAACAAACATTGTGAATGATTTTTTCAAGAGGTTTTGTTCCTTGCCTTACAATGTATAAAATATATATTATATATTAAAAATATGTATTTTTATTAATGTTTATAGTATTATTATTAATAATTAAAATTTTTTATAGTGTTATTACATATCAAACATTAAAAAAAACTTTTATTCACAGTTATAATAAATTCAACGATGGCTAGTAATGCAAGAGGAATACCCCGTATACAGGTCTTTAGACCGACATATGAGGAATTTAAAGATTTTACGAAATATGTGGAATATATGGAAAGTCGAGGAGCTCATAAGGCTGGTTTGGCAAAAGTAATACCGCCACCTGAATGGATTCCTAGGAAGAAAGGCTATAATCTAGATGAGTTAGATCTTACCATCCCAGCGCCAATCTGCCAAGTTGTCACCGGAAAACAAGGACTTTATCAACAAATTAATATCCAAAAGAAGTCAATGACTGTACAAGAGTATAGTAAATTAGCCAATTCTGATCGTTACGCTACTCCTCGTCATTTTGACTATGAAGATTTGGAGAGAAAGTACTGGAAGAATATAACGTATGTGGCGCCGATATATGGCGCAGATGTATCTGGTTCTTTAACAGATCCAGATGTGAAAGAGTGGAATATCAATCATTTAGGAACAATTCTGGATTACGTCAATAAGGATTACGGTATATCCATCGATGGCGTTAATACAGCTTATCTGTATTTTGGAATGTGGAAAACTACATTTGCCTGGCACACAGAAGATATGGATCTATATTCCATAAATTATTTACATTTTGGTGCGCCAAAAACGTGGTATGCTATACCTCCGGAACATGGACGTAGATTAGAGAGACTAGCTAGCGGCTTTTTCCCAACCAGCTATCAAAATTGCCAAGCCTTCTTACGCCACAAAATGTCTCTTATATCTCCTCAAATATTAAGGCAGTATTCTATTCCATGTAACAAAGTAAGTTTGTTTTCTACTTATACTACTTAATTTTATATTTCTATCAGTTTTTTTTATATATCTTTCGTATTTTTGTTCTCGCAGATAACGCAGGAAGCTGGAGAAATAATGATTACATTTCCATATGGTTATCATGCTGGTTTTAACCATGGATTCAATTGCGCCGAATCCACTAATTTTGCAGCACCTAGATGGGTAGAATATGGAAAGAGAGCTGTGCAATGTACCTGCAGTAAAGATATGGTCAAAATATCTATGGATACCTTTGTGAAACGTTTTCAACCAGATAGGCATGTATCTAAATTATTTAAAAATAATTTAATTTTATAATATTGCTAAACTCAATACATTTACATTCAAAGATTTACTATCTATAATTAATCCTCTGATTATACAGGTATGAATTGTGGTTACGTGGTGAGGATATTGGTCCTCATCCTGAAGATCCTAGGCAGACTGCTGCACCAATGCCGTCACAAATGGATCTATTATGTAGTAATAGTAGCAATGGTGAATTACCACAAGGCTATTTGAGTGCAACACCAAAAAATAAGCGACATATGATTCATAAGAAAAAGAATATTATACGCACGAATCCTGGTATAAACATGGAAGAACTTGCGAACCGTACAGATATTCCACCAGAGGTTAAAAAGGCCTTACAAGACATTGAATTTGATGAACTAGAAGAACCACCAGATGAACAACAGTTAGAGGTCCTAGAAGATATTTGGCTAAAAGCAGGAGAAATGGGTAAAATAATTACATTTTTGTATATTTTTATTTTTGTTATCATTATAATCTTTGTTATTACATATTTCACATATAGCGATTCGCAAATTTTTATTAATTGTATACTTTTATTTTAGAAATTGATGAAGCAACTGTCTATGATGATGGTTACAATCGCAAGAAAAGTAAGAAAAGAAAGAAAAAACAAAATGGAGATAAAGAAAAAAAACCAAAAATTGAATCAAAATCTAAGAAGGAAGCCAGCAAAATTAATGCACAGAATGTGAATGTAGTTAAAACTGAAGTGAAAACTGAAGATGATATGTCTACTTTTGAATACATATCCCAGGAAAATATGGAAGAATTTCCTGTGCCTCAAGGAAATTATAATGATGAAATTATTATAAAAGCTGAATCTACAGATCCTCTAAAAATAGACAGTTATCCCTCAAATGATTTTAATCCTTCAGTTATTGAAAAAGATGGTAAAAGGAAAAAAAAGCATTCAAAACATAACGAACAGAAGAAATTGAAGCCAAAACGTGTGTCCAAAGGTAAACGCAAACGCGATAATATACTGCTTTTCGATGCATCAACTTCAAACGTTTCAGATGCTACTGTGCAAACTGAAGCTAAATCATTAGATGATCTTAACATGTATGCTGTAAATAATATGTATAATAACCAAGAAAAATTTAATTTAATGCCACTAAGCGTTTCGCTTAGTAATGAGCTTAATAAGAAAACTACGAATACAACTAATATTAGTCCGACAAAAAGTTCTGCATTTAACAACGATAAAAAAGACATGACAAAATTAATGAGTGCTACAGAAAGCAGAATAACTGTTTCACCGATAAATGATAGCAGTGATTCTTCAAAAATGACATTTATGAGTAGAAATTTCGAAAACAACTGTTTTGCTAATGAACAGAACATAAATTCTGAATGTCAGAACGAAAGTACAAGAACCACGGCTGCTCAAATAGAACAGTTTACAAGTATAAACGACAAAAATATGGATGTGTTTACAGAAAGCGAGACAATACAAAGTAATACTCATAAAAGCTTGCTAAAAGCACCTCGTTTGAATGTACCATCATCGATTATACCTCCCAAATCACAAACTGAAAACCAGCAGATACAACCTATGTCAAAGATTTATCTTGAACATTCATCAAAAAAAAATTATCTTATTTTTCGACCAACTTACTCTAAACCTCCAGTTTTACAAGATGAAACGGAAATGCAGTATATCAAAAACGATAGCACAGTTCAAAAGTTGGCTCCACCACCGTTAGAATTTTCATTTCTTCACAGGCTTCCATCTGATACTGCTATTACTAAGGTGCCCAATACTAATTGTAACTCCACGTTTTCCAATGTTACACCACAATTCAACCATCAATTTAACCAGCCTAACACAAATTTAAACATGAAATTAAATATGGGAAAATCACCCTATACGAGTAACAGTTCCAAGAAATTAATAGAGACATCCTTGCAAAATATATATCCAAATGTTCCTAAAACTCAAGCAGTCGCATTAGATGATTCGAATATCATTCCTTTTGTAAGTCCATCATCCATACCATCACAAGCAAATGCGATACCCAATACGATATCGCAATTCCCATTGTTACCTGCTCTGGTAACTCCTCGGCCTCTATTGATAGGTTCGTGTATGCAAAATAAAAATACTGAAATAACATTTTTGTTAAATGCATCTGCAGTTCAAAACAGTTCAAAACAAGCTATGCCAAAAATTACCAAGAATGCACCAACGCGTCAAAGGCTACAAAAAGGAACGCCACGGAAAACATCGGCAAAAAATAATAAGTCAAATAATAATGCATCTTCGAATACTTCTCAAGCTAGCACTGTGAATACGTTCATTGGAACTCAAGTCAATAATTCTACTGATACGCGGATAAATATGACCGATTCAAACGTGCTATCACGAATTACAAATATGCAAAAAGACATGTTATACGAAGATGAGCATTTAAATATATCTGACAATAAGACACAGATACAAGACTTACAAAAGCAAACAGATTTTTGTTTACATTTACATTCATCTAAATCAAAGCATAAGGCACCTATATTAAGAAAGAAACCCAAAGAGAAAAAAGCTACAACAAGAAGAAAACAACCATTGGCTATTGTTCCAAAAACTATAAATATGGCTTCTTCGACCATTGTTCCTGTGAACACTGCTCATCCAGCTATTGCAAATGTTGTAACAACTGCTCCTCCAGCTATTGCAAATGTTGTAACAGCTGCTCCTCCAGCTATTGCAAATGTAACAGCTGCTCCTCCAGTTATTGCAAATGTTGCTTCTGTGACCGATACTTCTATAAGTGTTACTCCTGAGGTTACTACTATGCCTGTTGCTACCCCATCAACTGTTACTTTGGTGATAGAACCCACAAAAGATCAATCTACATCAACACAATCTGCCGATATGCCACAATTCTGTAGTTCTCAGCCAACATCGGTAATACCAGGGCACATTTCTGATATGATTTATCCGAATGTACCAAACAATGATCTGCTAAAAGCATTCAATGATTATTGGAGCGCTCAAGTGTCCCATTGTGCAATATGTGCTACTTTTGCCTCGTGTACAAGCGGAAGCAGTAGAATGATGCCACCTGATTGGAAATATTGCACATCAACTACGCTACCCGAAAGTACACCAATATGGGTAAGAAAATAACACTTAATAACTATCAACTTTTTAGTAGCAATCTTCTTTTGAATATATAATAAAAATTGCAAAAGTACTTATTGAAAAATAATTTATATGCATCAGGTGCCAGCCAATATTTACGCAGCAAACTCTAAGGAACAGGCTATGGAATCAGAGAATAACAAACTTTTACGATGCAGAGAATGTCACGTAACTGTTCATGCATCTTGTTATGGTATAACTATATTACCTACAGACATCCAAAATTGGGCCTGCGACAGGTGTAAAGCTGGCAGAAACGATGCGGTATGTGTTTAACAAATCTATTTTTTTCTGTTTTTACCACTCACTAAACATTATGTCTTGTCTAATTCTGCTTTATTGTTACGAAACACAGATGTGTTGTATGTGCCCAATGTTTGGTGGTCCACTGAAGCGCACCAGTGATAGCAGATGGGCGCATATTTTATGTACGCTTATGGTACCAGGAGCCACATTCAAAGATGCCATAAATAAAGATCCTATCAATGTATTAACGATCATCGCGGACTCATTACACAAGAAATGTTGTTTCTGCAGCCAAGACGGTGGAGCGTGCTTGAAATGTAATCAGTGCAATAATGCGTTTCATCCGTCTTGTGGTCTCGCGGCAGGCGCTACATTTAGCATACCGGTGTATACTTCAGAGGAATTTCAGGTACAGTATTTTCTAAATCATAAAATATGATTATATCAATAAGCTTCTAGATGTTAACATCAATGTTATGGCATTTAGGTAACGTGTAATGAACACAATGAAGGCAAAGAAAAGATTCCACAAATACGTCAAGGAGAAACAGTTTGGGCAAAGCATCGTAACAAACGATATTATCAAGCCAAAGTAAAAACTATCGAGGATACCGTCTTTTATATGGTTACATTCGACGATAAGAGCTTCAGTGATGATTTGTACCCTGTAGATGTAACTGTAAGTTTTAACATTGCATTCTTATCAGTTTAATTCAATTTCTATACACAATCAATTCTTGCCAATTTCTTTAGTGATCAAAGATTAAGTTTATTTTAAAACATACAATATTATTCGCGACATGCTCTACACATATTTTATACTTATTTAGAACTATAAACCTGAAAATACACCTCTAATTGGAGCCGCAGTGACGGTGAACTGGACAGACGGTCAAATATATAATGGCGTCTTCGAAGGTACAAATCATCGAATAATGTTCACTGTAAGTAATTTTTCAGTATCTATATATAGAGATTAATTTATTCCTTATTGATTACTTAATTATTAATTGCGATTTACATTTTTTCTGTTTAGGTGATTTTCGAAGATGGCTCTCAACTTATTTTAAAGCGTAATGACATCTACAGTTTACAAGAAGAAATGCCAAAAAGAGTGCGTTCTCGTCTGGTGAGTTTGGTCAGAAATTAATATCATAATGTAATATTTTTGAACGTGGCTTGTTCTTTTTATTTGATTATCTCTTTTTTCCCTTTGTTTTTCCCTTTATTTACATTGTTCTTACGTTTACTCTTTTCTGTTTCTCTGTTGGTTTATTAAAGTCTGTTGCAACTGAAATGAAGCACCGATCTCATCTTTATGGCACAGAAGGTGAAACAGAGGCGCAAAGAAAAGTGAAACAATTGAAAAATTACGATTGAATTGAGTTGTAACAAATTGATGTAAATAATTATTAAGAGAAAGGAACATAGAAATCCCCTGTTGTAAATAGTAGAAATTATATTTTATAATCTCGATTGTCATCTCGCAGCTTCATTAAATCATTACTTAATTTCGGACTGATCGAACAGATTAAAAATTTTACTTTTTCTCCTTACGTCCAATAATTTTTGTTTTAGTTAACCGATGTTTTCAACGGTGAAGATTATAAATACATATAAATTTCATTTATGTTAAATTATTAGTTTTACAGTATTGTGCTTGTGTAATTGTCCAATACATTCTATGTCGTATATAATATGAGCTATTTTATTAGTGTTTATTAGATAAGAATATATATTATACACATGTGTGTGTATTTAACGGCACAATGGAAAGTATTGTTGATATTGCTGTTATGAACAAATGTTTTACGACGATCTTTATCTGAGACTGATCAAATCGCATATTATAAAAGAAAAAAGAAAAGATTATTTAAGCATGATCTGGACTCTCAGAATTATATTTCTTCTCTCTTTTTCCTCGTTTTCTTTTTTTAAAAGAAAATTATAATGTAAACAATTTTTATTAATTTTAAAAAATTGATTAAAGAATATTAGAAATTTCATTAAAATATAAAGACATTTCTAAGTTAAATTAACTATATTAAACTGAGCTCTCATAATTATTTCCTTTTTTTAATCTTTCTTTATATTTCTCTATTATTCTAGACGAAAATTTCAACTAATTACCTAAATTATAAGTGAGAATTTTTTCTTATAAGATTATAGGAATATTATATATATATATATATATGTAAGTTTTGTTACGATACTTTTCGTTGATACCGTTGAAAATCGTAATTATATGTATTTCTGATGATGTATTTCTCAATATTTCGTTATCAAACTTATGCTGAAAGCTTATTGAATATATTATCTATAAATTGAAACGTTCCACAATATATTTCATATACAAGAAGTAGATAATCTTTTATATTTATTAATGCATAGCTCAGAAGAACTATTTACAAAAATAAACTGAGATAGGAGGAATAAACATCATCATGCAAATTTTTTTAAGTGATTTATTTAAATCTTTTTCATAGTGATAATTATGTAATTTTGACAATTAGCTGCGTATTAGATTTATTTCGTTTTAAGCATACATGTCAACTAATAACTATTACAAGTTTTGTGTTCATTAAGATCAGCGTCATAAAATACTGAAAAAAAAAAATTATCAATTATTCATGAACATTAAGATATTTTTGAACTACTTGAAAATTTCCATTGGATATTTATTTTTATTAACATCATAATTTAAAATTCGTTTAATTTAGTAGAGATTTGCTAAGTTTTGAGAAAGAAAGTAAAATCTTTAAAAAGATAACCCTATTATTGCATAAAATGTTTATGATACAAGCCACTAAAACACAGATATGATACATTAAGACAGATATGATACACAGATATGGTTAATTAAGATAAAAAAATAGATACAATTTTATATCATCTAAGATATTTGTTTGGATTACAAAATATATATATATATATACACATATATATACAAATAATACAAATGATTTACAAAAAATAAAAAATGTACATAATTTATATATATAATATAGAGGTACTAAACATGCAGTTTCATATACATACAATATTCCATAGAATAAATTCAATGTAAATTACTTTATCTCCATGTAATCAACAGATGAAAGATCATATCTCCATGTAATCAACAGATGAAAGATCATATATATTATTGAGTCTTTCATTAATTTTATTTCTAGTCGTTATTTTTATTCTACTTTAATACTTAAAGTTACAAGAGAGAAAGAGCAAATTAGTAAGAACAGTACAGTATTATCTTTCTTAGAAATTACTGTGATGGCAATATCATTTTTATGTATGGTACCTATGTTTATGGCACTTGTATGAGAAAGTATAACGAACAACAGAAAATATTCTCAAAAATTATTAATATACAAGAATAAGACTGGAATTATTGTTATCACTGTTACTATTATCATAAAAATAATTACCTTTCTGTAGACGATGCTATTTAAGTATGCTCTTCTAAATGTAGTTAAAATGATAAGTGTATTCGTTTAGCACGTTAATCCATTCTGATTAAGTCTAAAATGAGGTATAAACTATAATATTTGTAAGATTAAGGAAGTAAATTTGTCAGTTTGTTATCAACTGTTCAAATTCTCATACTGAAAATAAATTCTATTGTAAACTGTAAGAAGAGATCATATATAATGTCGCAAATAAAAAAATTTTGAAACAAATTGTAATTGCAAAGTTTATTTTTACTGACTAACTTGCATTACGCAAACGCGAAGTTTCTAATACAAAATGTATTGTACATTCCTCTGTGTAAAATATAATTAATCTTGGAAAATTAACCGTAATCTTGGATAATAATATTTTCGTAATAAATTGTAATGTTTTAATCAGCTGCAGTATTTACTGAAGTATGACACAATACCTGAATACTATTTTAAAGAAAGTTGCAATGTATCTGATTCTAAGATCTAATAAGATATTATCTGCGATAAATCGGTGAATTGAATAAGAAATGAAGCTATAATACTGTAATTTTATTTCCAAACGTTTCTTCTCTCTTCATACATAATGTCTCATTTCTTACGTGACATTTTTTTAATTATTCGTAATTGATAACTTCATAACTATAAGATAATCAATCCTTCATCTTTCTCTCTTGATTATTCATATATCTTCATTGATACTGCAAAACTATAAAAGAATAGTTAAAAAAAAAAATATGTTAGGATTATAAATTATTACATAAATAAATATGTACTCATATATAAATTTGCAGGCCTATTAATTGGTGATGGGATTGTATTACTTTGGATTGTATCGTTTTGTATAAGAATTTGGAAAACATGTAATTATGTAAAAATGACAACATGAAATAAAAAAAATAAGAATAAATTAATTTATTCAACGGTTTGTAATAATTCTTACAGAATGATTCATAGAAAAACAGTCTAAAAAAAGAACCAATTTCTCTTAGAAAAATCGACGCAATATGTTTATTTTCACTTTATATTTTTCTCTATAAAATACGGTTGCTACATTCAGCAAAAAAGATCGTACTTTCTATGATAAGATATTGTAAGCAAATAGAGTGCAAAATATTTAATTAACAAAACCTTCACATATATTTAGGCAATTTCACATATCCATAGATAATACTAAAAACGCAAATTAAATAAACACTAAAGATTAAACTAAAGTATATCAAATTGTTTAGGGTTTTAAATACCATTCTAAACTATAATAACGACGTTCAATGCGCGCTGTATCATGTATATTTGTCCTTATCACTTAGGCTTACATACATACAGATATTCTGCTTTGTATAAACCTTATACTTTGTTTATATATAAACCTTGCCATTTTAGTACCACCGCTTTTTATGAACGAAATTGCTGGCGATTACAGCGTCTTGTCTCGATCAATACAAAATAACTCGGACTAGTACTTTATTTCGCTAAATAGAGTACTTTAAAAAGCCCGTCTGCAACTGGTAGCTTTACAAGATTCGATGTTGATACCCAATCTTTTTCGATTTGATAGAAAACATTCTCAAAGTGCCGTAGAACATCTCGTATCCAGCGAGATTAAGGTCTAAAGAAATAATGACTACTAATACGACCCTCCAATTTTCTTAGAGTTTCCAAAATTTCTCTTATGGGATTTATTTATACTTTCGCGTTTCCCGTGAGGAAAGCGTCTCAGAACTTTTATGTCGTTTCTCAAAGGGACTGCCCGCAATACCACAAATACTGTATTTGATAGGATCATATTTGATTCATCTTCTATTGAGCTTGCACCAAAGCGCGCTGGCCGTTAGAAGATGCATCAGCACCCCGATACCGAGGACGAGTACCAGATTATTAATCACATTTATGTCATTGATTTCTATTTCTTTGAGAAACGTGCTTGGTTTCTTGTAGTGACAATAAAATTCGTCGCACATTAAGTCCTTTCTATCGTATCCGTATACAGAATATATCAAATTATGGAAACTAGCACGGAAATATGATATATGGAACATCCAGCGGAACGCTTGTGGCGTATCGAAGTAACGTATGCAGAAGCCGAAGATGGAGAACAGTACTGCGATTATCGGGCCAATGAAGACGGCAATCTGTAAAGAATTACGAAAAGTTCAGTGTCTTTTTTTCTGCATCACATCTAAAGTTGAATATCTTTTTAGCACATCCAATCGCAATAAATCCGAATTATAGATATAAATATGCACATGTGTTTACATGTAAGAGTATAAATTGTTTTTCGAGGATTTCAACCTTTATATCTTTTTTCCACACGCCTCACCTCGTCGTTGACTATAGATTTTCGAAATAAGAATAACTCTTTTTACTCTTAAATATCAATAGCGGTCTAAAATTTTGATTAGGACCCGAGTTATAAGAATTTAAAACAGGAACGGAATTTCCTAAGTTAATTAATACGCACATCTATCGCATACCCATATATGTAGCAATATTGCTACAACATACAATATTGCAGTAGCGTTGCTGCAACTTTTGTGCAACTTTGTGATGTAGGGGGTAACTTTAGATCCAAAATGCGAATTTAATATTTTACAGTGTTACTTAAAAAGGAAGAGATTTACCTTAATTGGCGTAGTAACGCCGATGAAGAAACCCCATGCTTGCGCCGTCAAACTGGCAGCTATGCTAACTACATTGAAGAATATTATCCGATTCGTTTCTATGGGCTGTGCAGTCAACCAGTAGCTCACTGCCAGATACAACGACGCACATGCCGCTTGAAAGGGTATCTCGATCATCAATATGCTGATATAATACGGCGCCAGCCGGTACCAACGATTGAAATGCTCCCTCACGAGAATTTGCATCTCCAGTGGGACTGAAACAAAGAGGCGTATAAACGGAAACTGAATACTCATTGAATACCGATAATGATCCCCGAAGCAGAAATCCTGATAAAAAAAAACTACGATGAAACTGCGATTAACTTGATCGATAATTAACTCATTGAGTAAAATCTGTACTAATTTATTAATCCGTGGATAGAATAATTTTTTTGTTGTTTAATAAATGGAAAAACTAGAGAAGAATAATATAGTTAGAAATTTTACTTGAAGTCTTTTTTTTAAATTCTGTATTAAGCTGATCTAATTAATGACTTAATTAATCAAAGTTCGATTGAAGTCACTTCTAAAAATTACACATGTTAGTTTATAAATATATGCATAGAAATGGAAAATACAATGGAATGCATTTGTGTAAACGAGAAAATTTTATACATAGAACACAGGAAAAAATCCCTAAAAACCCTTTTTAAAAAAAGAAAAAATATATGCCAAGTGCATAAAAAAGTTATTGAACACATTCTTCTTAATAAAAAAAAACGGATATGAAATAAATGTAATTAGCCAAGTATTTCATTACGCAAGACACATAAGATAGACTGAAAGTGACTAAATTTATCAATATATTAATATAAAATTGTCAATGGATTATAGTGAAGAAAAAACTTAGCGTGCTTCGACCGCATTAAAACGCAATATTCTAGGATCAATATGTTTTCATAGCACGAAAATTATTTGCAATACGAATTAATAAAAAGATTATTACATACAATGTTCTGCAGATACGCATAGATGAAAACAATAATTCAACAATTAAGAAGAGATGTTAATAATTTACAAATATGTCAAAAAACGTCAATTTTTACACCTTTAACTTCACTTTTCTCACAAACGACATGATAGAGCAATTTTATTGCCGGATTCGTGTTCAGCACGCGAAAATACATCGGAAATGGTATCTTTTATTCAAATAGCAAAAATCACGTCGGCCAGTGTAATTAATATGAATAAATATTTTAATAATATTTTAGGGATGTTTTAAAGGAAATATACCAAGGATATTTATACAAGTGGATATAAAACATCCATATAGAATACTCTCATAAAAAATTAAACATTAAAAATATTATACACACACAATATTCTCACAATATTATAACTTATTTTAATTTTTTTTTAATAATATTTATATAACATATTCTAGGAATATTTTGCGCCTATAGGGCATTTGTTCATAATCATAGACAAATTATCAAATTAGATAATTCGATAAATTACTGAGATTGTCAACACATATAGTACGCATCAAAACTGTAAGAGAGGTATTACGTTATTAATCACTTTCGATTTAAATTAATTTTCCTCGAAGCTATAGAGATGCACTAAGGCGAGTCAGGTGGTTGCTCTATGAAATTTAATCACAATAGCTATGGCAGAGATATTCGCATTTCCTTGACCTACATCTCAAAGTAATGACAGCGTGCTATAAGCGTTTACGAATATTTCATACTGCTTGATGCAACAACAGTGAAGATAATTACGGTCGACCAACTCACACAATATTTCGAAAGATAAGTGAAATTAGTGACGACAATTCTGGACAAATGTACTAATTAACGTTTTCAACATTTAAAAACGTGAAATTAAATAATATATATATATATGTATATATTCTCTACGAATAAATATATATAAATATATATAAACATAAACATGAATAAATATTCATAAACGTATATAATTATATATGAGATATGTCCATACATATTCATACAGGCTTCTTTCATTTGTAAAATTACTTTTTAGTGTACTAAAAATAATAATAATAATAATGAGAAAACATTAAAAATAATTAAATGGAAAATTTTCGCATTGTTTTAGAAAAAATCAAGTTTGAAGAAATGTAAAAGAATTGCTCATATATAGTTGCATGTAAAATTATATATAGTTACGTATGAGCAAATTTTTTTACATTTTTCGAAACTCGATTTTTTCTAAAACAAACAATGCGAAAATTGTCCCATTAACTATTTTTGATGTTTTCTCAATATTATTTTTACATTTTAAAAAGTAATTTTACAAAAGAAAGAAAAATATATTTCATGTATAATAATATATGAGTATGAATATTTATGCGTGTTTAGCGCTATGTTTATACATATTTATACATATTAATATAATATATAAAAAAATTTTTTATCGGGGTCCCCCAGGTAGCGAAGTTTGTCATTTTGACGTCATATTTTGGGTCTTTACTGACCATTAGGGCGCGTTCATACCTTGACGGAAAAGCAAAAAGCGCAAAAGCAGTGGCCAATCACAATTCGCACTGGTAGTAAGTAGTACAAAAAGCCGAAATTGACTACCAGTGCGAGGTCTGATTAGGTGCTGCTCTTCCACTTTCTGCTTTTCCGTCAAGGTGTGAACGCCCTTATACTACCCAACTGGCGACTTATGACGTCAATATGACGTCACAGAATGTCTAATAAAACCTAGGCCATGGTCCGATTCATGCTGACAACGCTCATGAGCATTATTTGTCTTCGTTCAACATTTGACAAACAAGGATGAAATGATTTTTAAGCATTGTGAGCGACACAATCCGAATCAGACCGCGGCCTTATGGTCACTTTTTGGTCATTTGTACAAACATGACTTGAATTTGAGGATAGACTTCCGAAAAGGTGAACCCCCCGATTTTCTTGTCGATTGGTATACCACTATATTTTGGTGCCCTAATTACGAATATGATCATGAAAATTACCGACAAGGTCATTTTCAACGTTAAATATTTAAAAAACGGGTAATTATACAGTTTGACTCCAGCACCTTAAAAATCAATAAAATCAAGCTTGTTCGACGCGTTTTCGCATAAAACGAAAGAATCTGGCGAAAAAAAGTGTCGGTCTGTCCCGCAAACCAAGATGGAAAAAAAAGTAGTTGTCGTAACTAAAAACTACATGTGGTAACTAAATGGCAGATGTAAAATATGAACAGCTCAAATATAGGTATTATAGCTAATGTCTTAGCTGTGATATCTATATTATAGCAGCAACAGCAAACTATTTCGCTGTAGTTTATAAATTTATAGTTACGGCAGCAAATATATTATAACAAATTAAGATTAGCTGCGGCAGAGAAAATCTTTTTTTCTGTAAAGATATTAAGTATTAAAGTTCACGACTTTTGATAGATTTGAAGTGAGATCTATTTCTACACACACTATGGCAGGTCACAAATCATAAAATGATATTGAAGCAATGAAAGAAACAGCTGGTGAAATCTGGCCTTCAATATTATTCGATCTACAGCATTGCACGGCGTTGCGAAGGTAACACAAAAAAATGACTAGTTTTCGTTCGATGAAGTCAAGTTGTTGCACGCTACTTTAGAAACAAAAATTACAGCAATTGCAGCATATCGACACCCGCAGTTAAATATTTCTTGTAACAGAATTCACGAACGTAATGGCAATTAATATATTCATCGGTATATTTAATTTAAATAAACATCGTATTTATTAAATGAAATTTGTCTTAATAAATAAAATTAACATAACTTTCGTTATGATAATCCTGAAAAATTGATAAAGATCAATTGAAAATAATGGATTACGCGGTTGTAATGTATAAATATTAAATAAAGTTAAATTATGAGAAATTAAAAACAATTAAGTCAAATGAAGTCGAAAAAGTTGAATGGAAAATACAATCTAATTACGAATTCTACTTATATGATGCATGTTGCAGACGTGTTTATTGATTGAGTTTATAGAAATCCATAAATTAAACACATTATAAATAGATAATTCGATGTTATCATCGAGTTTAAGTTATATAATGCTTTTACAAACTAAAAGATCTAAACGCCTCGGAGATGCTAATCACTTTAATGACATACCACAATATTATATCAATATGACTAACAGGATTCGTCATTGCGATGATTAATGCGGCTAGCATAGCTAATGTATCATGTATCTTGATATATTACACGGTCTTCTTCTTTATCCGATATTACAGATTATTCAATTTATCGGCACCGAAAATCTCAATGTATAGAATGAGGAACGCAAATTATATTTTTATCATTATTTTCATTGTAAAGCCATGACGAAATATCAATTAAATTAAATTTGCATTTACAATGCTTACGTTAACATATTACTATTAGTCACTCATAGAAGAAAGCATGGATACATTTTTGAATATATTAATTTGTATTTTGTGGCTCGTTATGATTGAATATTTACACTAAAACTCAAGATATAATTTATAGCTACTTACAAGCAAGAGTAACAGCCATTTTGCCGGTGTAAACGAGAAGAAGCAACGATCCATATAGATAAACATAATTTGCTAAGACATTAGCTCGATAGCCACTTCCCATGTACAGGTACCCGAAGATCACACCAATCAGTAGGTGACAGAGCAATCGCGCCAGCAATAACGAGTAGTCTCTTTTTATACTTAGTAGTTGCCTTTTGTACAGAAGGTAGCACTGCGTCAGAAAACCGGCAGGTGGTGGCGGTTCCTTGATTCTGTTTGCTAGAATAATAGATAATATAAATCAATATTTTTTAATGATTATGGTTGCAGACTAATTTGATAAATCTTCTCGTACAATTTTGTCAAAGCTCTTCGATGATTTACTGTCTTGCATGCACAAGAATGTTAAGGTTAAAAAATACAGGTGTTTCATAATATGTTTATTAGCGAGCAGAGAAGGAAAAAGAGAAAAAATAAAAAGGAGATATTTTGCATATACTTTTCAGTGAAGTTTTTATCATTCTTGTAGATAAGAAAAAAACCTCGTTTAATTATATGAGTGAGGCGTAAGTATATAACAATAGAATATTTATAGATTATCAAATAGTTTTAATTTGTTGAATATTCACACAATTTTTATAGGAAATGATCGAGTATTTATTATAGGGGAGAGTGGTCTAAATCGGACCGTGTTTCAAATAAAAAGGACCTTTTTAATTTAAATGAATACGGTTAAGCAGATTTGCATACTATTTATGATATGCATACTATTAATGTAAAGTCCTTATAAGACATCGAACATGTGATAGCAGTTTGACAGTTCTCTGTTATAACATTCATAAAATAGACGCAAATATGTATTTTCAGCCATCGTGCGAAAATTTTTTTAAAAAAGAAAATCCTTATAAATCATTACTGTAAACCAAATCGAACCGGAAAAAGCGTTTTTACATTTTTCATTGTAGTTTAACACAGGTGAGAGATACGTCAAAATGGTCTGAAGTAAAAATAAAGGGAATTAAATGATCTTTTCAATAGCACCTTCGATTTTACGATCGGACTTTATTTAGGCCTTATAGAGAGCAAAAACTGCAAATAAGTCCGATTTAGACCACTCTCCCCTATCTATAAAAGATACTAACATATTCTCTCAGTGCAGTTTAATTATAGCCTAAGACATCTTCTATAAATGATCTGACAAATATTTCATCTACTTAAAATATACGTTAGATTTATAATCGAAGTAAAATTTCTGTAAAAAATGGCCTTACTTTCTTCAGGCAAGCTCGTGGTAAGAGCGATCGTTTTCTGATTAGTTGGTAAAGTTTCCGCCGCTGCCACCAGTTTATTGAGCGAAATACCATATTCGCCGATCGCAACCTCGAGGACTGAAACGAATTCAAGAATTTGATTTAAAAATCATTATTTCCAGAACTATGATTACTCGCTGTTGTGTAGAAACGCGCTTTCTAAGTGAATGTTGACCATTTCAACATTCGCTGCGTACTTGCAATCAATCGGTGCATTTGCAATCAATTTTTATTGAAATACGTCGTTATAGGACTTTGATATGCAATTGTTCTTACTTTAATTGTGTCTATTATTTTGATGCTTCGCAAATAAAGCGCTTACAATAGATCGGATCCATAAGTAATAGGCGAGAAAGAAAGAGAGATCAGGAGAGATCTTTTTAAAAATAAATATCCATTGTATTTAATCACATCGGCAATATCAAACGCTTTCTAGATTCTAATCATTAACCTATAGACTTAAATTGTTCAGACTATTGCCTAATTTATTCGAGACTGTTACTACATTCTTGTGTAGTGAGTTAACTCGCTCTTACATAATATCGTGCAATTTATGAAGTCTCTTTTAGGATACGATTATTTGCGAAACGACCATTGTGGAATGCAGCTTTGGTCCTTTTTTGCCGATGATTTCGCACTCTGTTAGCTGACATTTACGTAACTAGTAGATTCAACGAGAGGTAGCTCGGGCTTAAGATTACCTTATTTGTTTTAGTAAAACTACGTACCGAAATCAGCTGGATTGTGATAAGGCGGACAATGGGCACCGACAGAAGTCAGGTGCGGTAACAACGAGCTAACCGAGCCTCTGTATATGCAATAACCATTAGCCACCACGTACAAGGAATCAAACATCTCCAGGAGCAAGGCACTTGGCTGATGAATCGTACAGATTACCGTACGCCTTTCTAATTCCGCCAACCGCTTCAAAAGAGCGACGCATTGGCTGCACGAAGAGGAATCCAGACCTGTAAGGTCAATAATTCTACAATGTCCTAGAAAGCGGTAATACATTCTGTGGAAAATGCATTTCGCAATCGCCTCGCACGCAATGCATTAAGCACTCAATGGAGAAATTCGAGTACAATCCCCTTGATATCTCATATTTCCATCTTTGCGTTATCTTGAAGAAGCTTAAAAACTGACGATGTGTAACAGTATTATGTTTCTACGATGCAATCTTGACGATAGATCTAAAGTCTATCATACAGGTGCAGTAATACATTGTTAAGCAAGCGTAATTGAGACTGGAAATAGAATGAGGTAATCGGAAATACACATCGCGAATCGCGAGACAGGTTGTTGCGAGAATTCTACCGGTTCGCCTACCACAGCATAACATCATGATCATAATGTCACAACTTTTTTTTAATCATATAATCTGACATGAGTACAATGACGCTCAGTGTAAAATATTAAATTGTTATCGCATGCAATTATTAACTACATTAGTTACGCGGCATGATAATCGTTATTTTTGCCTTTGGCTACAAATGTAACTTGATAAACAGAGGTTTCTAACAATCGCATTACAATGTTCGTTAAGATACAATTTTGCGATCGTCTGCATCAAATTTATAAAGTTTTAGAGATATCTAAATGAAATAATGGCTAATAAAAAATATGAGCTACCCTGATAAAAATAAAAATTGGAGCGTAAATCGAATGTAATGGGAGCTGATCGGATGGGAGATCGGATGTAACAGAAGCGTAAATGAAACTTTCAGAAGACGAAAATTGGAACAATGAAATGTAAAAGAATCATTTACGCTTCTTTTACATTTTAATGTTTCAATTTTCACCTCCTAGAAATTTCGTTTACGCTTCTGTTATTCTGCCATTACATTCGACTTACGCTCTGATTTTTATTTTCATCAAGGTAATAAAAGTCATAAAAAGACAAAAAAGTCTAGATAAACATAAATCCACGTAATAATAGTAACCTTTCGCTTTTTATGATATAACGATTTGCTTACATTAACGAACTGCATACTTATTAAGACATCGTGGTTGTCTTTATGTATTCTATTTGTCAGTTATGACTTAGCATAAAATATTCTCATTCTGGAACATTCTACATATTAAGTATATGTTTCCTACTAAGCTTAATCACAAAATATCATTTAGCAAAGACGTCTGTTCATTGAAGTTATTATACGTTTTTGTATTTAAGTATTTAAGTATTCTTGACGTTCCTTTAATTTAATGTTCAACTTTTTAAATTTAAATTCCGACAATTTTATGTATTGAGTTTTTACAATTTTATGTATTGAGTTTTTATTTCTTAATTTTATTTTTATCTACTCACAATCAGACTTTTATACATAATCAAAATATTACATTCGTTCCCATAAAATCGTTCAAGAATTGATTAAAATTTCGTATTTTAATTGTGTTTTTTTTAATATTATCATATAATATTAATATAAATATGACAGTCTGTATTTTTATTACTTACCAGTCGTTGGTTCATCGAGGAATAATACTGAAGGATTAGTTAAGAGTTCCAAGGCGATATCAAGCCGTTTCTTTTGTCCACCCGATAATTTTCCGCATAACGTGTCATAACAATGGCTCAGTCCTAGCATTTCCAAGAGTTCTAAAACCTACATACGTATTCATCGAACGTAAAAAAAGATTACAAAATGCGACAGGGAACGTCTAGAGATAACGGGAAACGTAAATCGAACATGTCGTGAATAAAATAAAGAAACGAAGAGTTGATGAGAAACAGTCAGATCTTTCTCAAATTCTCTTTCAAAACTGAACACAAGATATTTGTTCGTTTCTTTTAAAGAGATATCAAATTAAGGAAAAATTTACGACGCAACAATTAAAATGGGTAGTTAATTGTCACAAACCTGAGAATGCTTATAAGCGGAACTGATTGTGTAACCAAGCTTCAAATGAGCGGCTAAAGTCATGGCTTCTCCCACGGTTATGAATGTTCTGATAATGGAGTCTTGCTGTATATAACACGACGTCCTTTTCCATCGTTCACTATGTGGTACTCGAACCTTACCGTTGACCAGAACTTCACCACTTACACCTGATACACTACGCATTGTCACCGTTATATTTATATTTATGAAAAAGTACTATAATTTACACACAGTTATTATAAAAAATTGTTAATTCGGGCTTCTAGCGAAAAATATTGAGAGACATATATGAGATAACGTTATATAAGAGGACATGAAGTTTCCATAAATATGTTCACATGGCTGATTTGTCTTAAAAAGTACGATGTAACATTGAAGTCTCACATAATTATCGATTATTTATGTAATTTTTAATTTCAATGTAACTATCCTACACTGACTTATAATATAGGTTCCGAGTTACACATAAAGCGCATGATGTATCATTTGTCCTTGTTCACCAAATAATAAAGAAGGATAAAACGATACGTCATGCGCTTTATGCGTAATTCAGAACGCACGCATAATGTCGTTCATCATGCAATAATGTAAAATGGAAGCAGAAAGTGAACATCAGTCTTTCAATATGAATAATATGATAGTGCGATATGCATCGATATGAAAATCGAATAAATATAGAATAGAAAATATTTATTAGTTAAGACACTTAAGCGCGCTGCGGAACTTTTTTTAAATGTTTTTATCATATTGAAACAAGCACTTAATAGGCAGCAATTATCACATGAGAAAAATAATTTCTTTTTTTCATCCAGTAAAACTAAAGGTATTTGATATTATTTTCGTAAGCATATATAGAGTATCTAAAAAGGTCCTCGAATTTACTCGGGAGGATGACGTTTTTGAAAAATGTTTCTGACAAAAGTTGTAAGGTTTAAAAAGATTTATTTGTTGATCTTTATCAGTTTGACATCTACATAGCCTAGGAAAAAATGTTATATATATGAACATATTTTATATATAATTTTATATAAAATATAAAATAATTATATATAAAACATTTTTTCTCGGGAGTACATTTTGGGTAATGCTTATTAATGTCAACGATATTGTAATCTTCAAGTCTCATAACTCAAAAAGTATTTAATGAAAAATGTATAGGTATAGATCTTTCGAGTAAATCCGGGGTCCTGTTTGGACATCTTGTATATAGATTGATGTATTCAAATTAATGTTTGACTCAAAATGTTAATTAATATTACGATGTTTAAAGATATTCTATGTACAATCTTCATATGCAATTAGATTGATATACTTGAACCCAGGAAAAAATGTTTCATATATAATTATATAAAAAATTGACAATTATATATATAATTATATATAAAATATGTCCATATATACATTTTTTTCTCGGAATTGATGTTTAACTCGAAATGTTAATTAATGTCAATTCAAAAGTCGCAAATGTTTAACCATAATTAATATTTTTTTTAATTATAGAGACAAATATCTCAAAAATAAATAAATTTACTCAAGTAACAACTTGTTGTTCGCAACAATTGCACGGAAGACATCTTATGAACGATATTTTAAATTTTGTTCTAAATATGAAGCCACTTCAAACTTTACGCTCTTTTCTTAAATGAAACAACACGTTTTTTCTTACATTAAGATAAGGTTACAAAGAAGCGAACACGTTGTGAAATTACATATTTTTTCTCATTATACATTCTGATAAAACACGTCTTTTTACTTTTTAATATCCCTATCTTAATGTCAACAATATTAGAAAATCGGTCAAAGACGAGCGAATAAATTAAGATGTTCTAACCTATTATAACAAGCGAAACTAGTTTCGATTTTACAAAAGTCGAAATAATAACCTACTCGTTGTTGAAACTCAATGTCAATAATATTAAAAAAATCGGTCAAAGACGAGCAAATAAATTAAGATGTTCTAACCTATTATAACAAGCAAAACTAGTTTCGATTTTACAAAATCTTAATTTATTTGCTCGTCTTTGACCAATTTTTTTAATATTATTGACATTGAGTTTCAACAACGAGTAGGTTATTATTGCTTATCCTTATCTTAATTACATCTTCTTATATATAAAATCACAAGATGGAAATAATAAACTTTCTGCAACATCATATTATTGTAAGAATATATGTATAAATAATATATATATTTTAAGTAATAAACGATATCTGTAAAAAAGAAAGATTTCCGATAAACACACACACGCACGCGTACGCGCGCATGTAGAATGTATGACTTATAATTGAGATTACTATCAGTGTTATTCATGTAAAATACTCTTCTAGATTTCTACGGAAAATAATGATCCAAGAAAAAACGACACGATCGCTCTATAATACTCTTATATGTATAAACACGAATCTCTTCTGTATATGTTGTGTAATATATGTATACTTTATGATATATAATAACTGGAAATGCATTTATGTAATAAGTAGAGAATGATTAAATATGAATTATTGCTCGTAATTATCAGTAATTATCTAACAGGTGATTATCTTATCATCCGATTAAGACTCATTTTCTAATATTTTTTGCAGTTTATTGCAGAAATAATAAGGTATCGGCTCTTATTGCAAAGTAATATTCAAATTTCGTTGAAGCAAATAGCATTAATTGATTTTATTTTATAAGAGTACTTGTGATTGCTTGAATTATATAGATATTATGCATCGGAATTGTTTATTATAATAATTGCACATGAAAAATTGCAACGTTAAAATATCTAAATTAATAAATGAAATAGGTTCAAGTGATTAAATCTAAAACGATAAGTAATGCCGATATGAGCTAACACAGAAAATTTTAAAATCCAGCAAGTATAAGTGTTTATAATAATCTGCCATATCGTAAATTAATTATAACGTAAAGAATCTCCATATATCGACATGTAAAAGAATTCCGTGTCCGAAACTATAGAAAACAAATAAAATTAAATTTATAACGTAAAAAGTATCACAGATTAAGAAGCATGTTTTAAATAACCACAAGTATGTAATACTAATTTACGAGATACATATGATATGAGGTATACATTAATTTTGAAATGATATTTATGCACATAGCAAATTACTAATTTCTGTAAGATTTGATTTAATTCATTGATTAAAAGCGCAATTAGAACGTATATTTTCGAGCGAAAAAAAATTTCCTTGTGAGTCAATGTAAAAACAGTGCTCGCATCAAATATATAAAATTAATTATATTGAGATTGTAGAAAAAAAATAGCGACCACTCATCGCACACATGATGTGTTCTGGCACGTGAAAATGATTATAAGTAGAGTTTAGCTTGAATACTTAATATTTCACGGTAATACAAATTACCTAATTGTGCTGCTCTCCGACGTATATGAATATTTTTTCGACGATATTACGACATAATAGTGCAAAAAAAAGAACTAATTTCTGAAAAAAAAGTTCTGTTTTCATGATGAGTTATGAATTAGCAACGATATTGTTTTCAGCGAATAATTTGGAGTTAATGGAAAACTGTTTAAAGTTCTCGTATTTAGTTTAATGTTGCATGTAATCAACGTTATTTGTTTTTGTTGTTCTCAAACCTCAGACAGCTCACAGTAAATCGAATTTGTTTTTCGCATTAGTTAATTTGGCACTGAATGGTTGCGTTCAGCAAAAAAAAACCGCTCAATGAGCGCTCAATGGGCGGTTTTCCCAAAAAAAACAGCCACTGTAATCGACGATGTGTCTTCTAATTTTTTTTATTCTATTAGCCGCAGCACAAATTCTTGCATAATGCATAATGCACAGTGCATAAGGGAATCAACCAATCGAAATTCTTCTTTTCCATGGAATGGAAGGAAAAGAAAGATTCTGATTAGTTGATTCGCTTATGCACTATGCGTTATGCGTTATGCAAAAATCTGTGCTGCGGCCTTAATACTCGTTCGATCTCGCGACACGAAAACAGGAAAATAATGAATTGACTACTAGATGCAGCACTCTCTAAAACTTTCTTTTTTCGATAATCGAAATTTATCCACACAACACAGTTCTCTAAGAGATGTTCTAAGATTGTTCAGAGAACGTTCTACATCCCAAAACGTTCTTAGAATGTCCCTTGGAGAACTGTGTTCCATGGGTATTTATCGGAGCCCATTTACAAGTACAAATATTGAGATTAGGAGTCAAAGTGTTATCGTGCCAAAGGTCAAGTTCTTTCTATATTGAGTTCCCCCGCCTAATGGGACATTTTAACCCTTGACCCACTCGTGAGAGACGCGTAAATAAAAATAAAAGTGTAGGATTGAATCATTCAATAAGAATATTAAAGAATTAGGAATACATGATAAGAAAATATATATAGATGAAATATGCGCAAACATAAAAAGGAGGGAATTTCCAAACTTATAAGCGATCTATGGATGTGTCACTTTTAAAGGATATATTTAAGAAGCAATCCTCATGTCTTTATGGTACTTACGTGAAACCAGCAAGCGCATTCAGCAGCGTCGACTTTCCAGCTCCGGATGGCCCCATAATAGCCACTAATTCGCCAGACTTAAATTCGCCGCTTATGCCGTGCAGAATTTCCTTCTCGCCTGCAACAAAGACGTACGAGATCGCAATTATATGATTGCGTCATTGCATTCAATGCACGATGATTCATCGTTAACTTGCCTCGAATACGATATTCCTTATATATAACTTAAGTTATCGAGCTATAAATTTATAGCTCGATTTGTACGAAAGATAAAGAGTGTACGAGAGGTAAAGAACGTGAATACGTATTACGGATATCGTAACGTTTAACGTTCTTGGATCACGTCAATCACAAAATTTATTCAATGGACTTGTTTATTCAAAGGGCATAAAATGTCATTTTATTCAAGGCTACTTTGGAGTCATTGACATTAAATCACATGATATCTTAATTACGCGAAAGTAAAAGACATATGACTACATAGGACTACATAGAAAATTAAGAAAATATTTTGTAAAAGGAAATAGAATATGAAATATTGCATTGGAGTTAGCCTTGCAAGTAAGAAAAATGCAATTTTATTCTTTTTTACATATAAATATAGAATGGTAATTATAAAAGATATCTATATATACGTGACCTTCTCCGAGGAAATCCAGTTTTATTAATTTATGCATTTATTGCACATGAAGGTATTAAAATTAGATAAGTAAGGAATATTATACCTAGTTATTTCCGAGTTTATACAGATATGCAAAATGATTATCTGTAACATATTAAATGCTAATGTCAGCATATTACAAAAGTAATAATACATGTACACAGTATCATTAACATTCATTTTCATAATTTTTACTAAGATTCTTATAAAAATATATAAAATGTATCTTTTGTGCATACTAAATGTCTAATTGAATTAGCTCACGTGAACTTTATGTCCATTTATTCTTATTATTCATTTATTCAATTTTGTTTTACATATCTATTCTCAATCTTAACCTTCCTTTGAACGGAAAACGAAATGAAAGCGATTTGAAAATATTTTGTTTTTTTTATTCCAGATCACACTTATCTCTTCATTTGTTAAAACACGAAGGTGATAGGTACAGGACAGACGAATAGAATTTCTAGAACAATACGATTATACGATGATTGTTGCCAACTTTACATGTGCTCATTCGAACAACCCTTGAACTATTTTAATGATAAATTGATAACAGAACGACTGCATTAAAGCTAATCACGTAGTAGCCGATGAGCAGACTATTGTGCAATATACAAAACGCATAAATGATGCGTGACGAGCACGTGCGGATGTTGCAGCAATGACCTAGTGTTGCTTTTTCTTCATGTCATCGAAAGAACAAGGGAGGGAAAGACAAAGATGAATGATAATGAGTTATATTTCTCCTTAATCACATTTTACATAACGTACCGCATACAATTAATGCTCGATCGCTGGATCAATAAATATGAGATAACATTTATGTGTAACTATGACGCGAAGCTATGAACGAGTGCTTGGATCGAAGAAATGTGGCAGCAAAGTAAATAAGGAAGATTCTTCTGCCAAAGAAGAAAAAATCGAATTTCACGAAATACCTCTGGAGAAATGTTAATTGCTTTAGAAGCTGTAAATTTCTTTATAATAAGTGATAATAAATACAATTGCTTCACATGGTCTTTCTTTGTACTAGCAAAACAACAAGTCAAGTTTGTGACAACACATTCCACGTACTTGAAAGGAAAATGGAAAACCACCAAATTCAACTTTGCTTAAGAGTCTCTGGTTGCATTAAAACACGCTCTTGCTATTATAAGAACATCTTATTGAGATAGGTACAGAGAAGCGTATTCTACGTTGTTTTGCATGACTAATCTTTCATTCTCATTAGGGAGCAGTCGCTTCGTATCTTGAGTTATTCATTTGTAAATCATGTGAATGTCACGGCACACATCAATAACTCAGCTGAGGCTTTCTCTCGTTCTACTACGGAATTCCTTGAGCGCGTTCGGAGATCTCTATCCACGTTCACTCGAGTTTACACATACTTATTCACTAAGTAAATAAACCAGCATAATAAATTATACACACGTCAATAATTTTCTTTCGCGTGGGATTGACAAAAGTCATCGTTTTAAAAAAAAATCAAGGAAGCACAATTATAAATATAGAGGAGAAGGTGGTATTATAGCACCCCAGTTACATTTTACACAATAACTTTGTTAATAATCAATATTTAAGTTTAAAACTTGACAGTTACATTTGTTCAAATGTTGTTGAATCGATTCTGGACTCAAAGTTACGAAATATTTATTACTTAGGATTATAGATGCAAAATTACTGTCAAATTTAATTTTACAATTACTTACGGTAAAATTACGGTAAAATGATAATTTATTGGTAATTTTGATAAAATTTATTTCTTATAGTTTTATGCATAAATAGACTGTATTTTCGTACTTATGTATTGTATAAAATTATACGATCATTCAATATTCCTAATAGGAATCGCTGATAAAATAACAGGGATATTGACTAAATCTAAACGTACCCTATTGAAAAAAAATTCCGTCACAAAGTTACATAACGAAATCATGTAATTAAAACATGTAAATCACATAATGAATTGTTCCAAATCAGTACGTGATTTTTAAAAATCACGTATTTGAAAAGTTACACGATGATATATTTTTTTCTTCTATTTCTATCATTTAATTTTATAAATTTATAAGATATGAAAAATATAGTTTAAGATTACTGTATCTGTCACACTTTTTGTTTTCAATATTTTAATAATTTATTTGAAGTTTCTCTAGTTACTACGTACCTACATAGTTTCTTAATTATTATATCAATATGTAGTATCAAAATAAAAATTTAAATTAAATAAAGTGTTTTTAAACTTTTTAACTTAATGATTAAATGTACTCTTATATCAAATTACTTTATTTTTATAATTTTTTTTTAAATTATTATTTTACCAGCCTCCATAAATTACTGATTTATGATAAATTACCGAGTAAATTATCGTAAAATTTTTGGTTATTTTCATCTCTACTTAGGATACTATTAATAAAAATGTGGCGACATTGTATAATGACTCGAAGAAAAAAATAGTAATGTGCAGGCCTTCCATAAAAATAGTCTTAAAATATCAATTTTGCTTGGAAAACAGTATTTGATTACAAAATTAACAAAAAAGTAAAACATTTTAAAATGCAAATGAATGTATACATATACATACATTCACATAACTCTCTCTTTTCTGCATATAAGCTGTTCAGTACTAAAAATCTCAGTACTAAAAATAGTATACGTAATATAAACTATATATTAACAGTAGAGTTGCAATCGATTATTAAATAATTATTTTGATATGAAAATCTTAAAAAAGAAGTCGTAACTAATCAATAGCATAACTCAAACTATATATATATATATATATAGACAAATAAAATATTAAATAGCAAATAACATACTGGAAAATACATATATACATGTGATGATACGCTCAAGAAAAATGAGGAAATAGATGTAATTAAATGCTAAAATGTACCTCGTTAAAATGTAGAAACGTTTTGAAATAATTGAAAATAAAAATGCGTTATAATAAGTGCTGGCTATTGAGTATTGGTATAATAGCGTCATGATGCAACGGCGAGCTACTGAAAAAATAATTCCATAAATAATCATTAGGATTCGCTCTATAATAGCAGAGATATTAAGGGAGGCCACAATATATACATTGGCCATAATACCATCTTCTCCTCTACAATATAATATTAATGTATAATATAAAATTTCGACGTAAATGGATTTTTCTTTAAATTTATCAGATATTTTACTCATATTTTTTTTAATGTTATACAAAATGATTACAAAGCGATATTTCATAGAATCGGTCATACAATTTGAACAAAGGCATGTACGTATTGTTCTAACTTCTACGTGATACCATCTGTGACGCACAACTTCCTTTCTTGGGACATGAATAATACAATCAATTTTTACAATAGACGTGCTGTCGACATACTTCTAAGTTTTTATACATAATAGAACGCGTAATTGGCACACTCGGATAGATAAGACATTGGTTATTACTCAAATCAAATTGCGATGATCGCATCGTGTCCATTTTTCAACATAAAGCAAAATAATTTATCATTATTATTACATATATTTAAAAATAATATTGCGTAACGCGTGACTTTTGATTTAATAAAAATAAGAAATAATTTTAAAATATATATTTCGAAGTATCTCACTTTATTTTGTACACAGCTCAGCACACGTGCGAGCATATATTGTATCGCATTTTACTGACATTATACATTCTTATCTGAGTTGTTTTATATTTTGTTGTGTTATAATTATGAAATGGTTTTTATCTGTTATAAAAAAAACCGTTTAAATAGTGATCGTATATAATATAAGCACACATATTAGAAATATATTTTCTTTTTCATTTCTTATAAAATATATACATTCAGGCAACATTAATTACAGCAAAAAAATTCCGCCGCGCGCTTTATATTACTTTATTTTACAATTTGAAACAATTTATTTTGTTCACGAATTTAAAAAGAATATTTACATAAACTAAATAAACATGAGGCATAAATAATAAGATATGTGTCCTATAGAGCGCTGTCACGTTTTACATCTCATTAAATATATAAAGAAAAATTATACAGCGAGATATTTTTTTCCTCTAAGATGAATGCTTATTATGCTTATTATATATATTATTAATGGCACATTATAGCAAATAAGTATATTTTTTACTAAACACACTAGTATAATTAATTATATCTATACGAATTCCTAGAAAAAAAAACACAAAAATATATATGTATACAAAAATCACAAATTTAAATTATTATTATATTAATGTTTTTTATGAGCAACTTGTCATATAAATTATCGGAAATGATAAATATTATAGAGACATAGAGATAAGATACGATTACTACTCCGTCACCAGATCGACATTTCAATTCAAATTTATAAACAGTGTAACAACGGGGAAAATGATGATCACATCATAATTTTAGTATTGACACTATTAATAGCCACATTTTTTCATAGGGCAGTGAATGTTACTGTTCTAATTTAAATGTGCATTGTGATTCTTTATTCTTTATGCTTTCTCTCTCTTTCTCTCTCCTTCTCCTCCTCTCTCTCAATATGTTTAAATTAATAATAAAAATTTAAGTTTTAATTTAATAATAAAAAATTCTTATGTTGTGACATTTTATTGCAGCACTTCGAAATACCCGAGATAATTTATATATTTGTTAATTATAATTCTACGCCGCGTGAATTTTTATACATTATATTTTCAAAATATGCGTCGCGATACTTTCTCCGTTTAAAACTTTCTTCACTTATCGTGCAGCTATGCGATGCAAATACTTTCTCTTGAAGTACGTCACTAATCCCGCAATATACGATTATTAAAGCAATTAAAGCAATCATCAAATTAATATTTTAAATGGCCAATATGTCTTTTTATGTGACACGCACATCGACATATGTATTTGGAAATAATATTTTAAAACCTTTAATATATACTCATGTTTTCATTTGGACCATTATGGAATTTTTGTAACTTATTCAAGGCTAAAAATTTAGACTTTAACCTCTCACTATCGTTAAATAATTTGCGAGCACTATGTAATAATTTATACAATCTGCTTTCACTCACATGCGACTGTATCATTTGTGAATCTAAAAAAAATTCTATTATAACAATGTCTTGTTAAATTCCAAATTTAATATTTTGCGAGACACATAGAAATTTATATTACTATAATATTAATGCACTTATACTTATACAAATTCGTAATATATACGAAAATATATAATATAACAAAATAATAATAATAATATATATAATATTATATGTTTTGGAAAATGTAGGAACATATTTTAAATCATTCTCTCTCTTTTCGTAGTAAGATTATTTTAAAAATACAAAATCTCGTAAATTGTACCTACAAAATATTTGTATAACGATCATATAAAAGATACAACTGCAAAAGAATTGTTTAATATTAAAACTATAAGAAATAAGTATAAGCTTTAACTTTATGACACTCTAATAATCAAGAATCATCGTTTCTTTTTTTTAATGAGAAAAGGTTTTCCCGATTTTCAACAAGAAATGCCGCTACGTGTGAAGTGCATGTCATAAATGACATTAATTACAAAGCTTGACTGTAGACTATAGTATACAAAAACACTTAAGCAATCGTAAGATATAAGCAGTAAGATATAAGCAGTGAGTAAATCAACACTTTAGATTTACTTTAGTAATTACAGATATTAGGGAGTTTCTACAATAACGTGAATCCAGATACGGTGAAGGTAAGGTCACGTTATCTTATAATTAAGAATTATACTAATTAAAAAAAGGATAAACTGTAATTAGCCGATACTGCTTTCGTTTTTATACGAGCCACAGTCTTATTACACCACTACAGTCGTGTATGACTCCAGCACATATGCATTATTATTATTATTATTAAAATTTTTATTTTCTTGCTTACTGATGTATTATACTAATATTTATAAACAATAATATATTATTAAATTAAGAAGCGCCATAACGGTCAGAATGTTAAGATGTTGAATTATTGTAAATTCATTTAAATAATCTTAATTTAAAATTATTATGTTTAACATTAGCGGTCTTTCAATCTTATTATTGAATAATATATTATTTATACTTACTGATTGAGAAGTTGCGTACGCTCCATTCCTTAACGCGATAGCGTATATCGCGGAACGTCAAGTCAAGTTCGGGCCTCTTTGGGAAGGAGTGCTTCTCCTGTTGTAGGAAATAATTGTTGTTGCTTATAATAGCCGAGTCTCGCATATCGTCTTGGCTGCTATGGTCGAACTGGCAGCAGCTCAGAGAAGACCGCGACGGCGAACAGGGCGTCGGAGTGGTCATGGCAAATGCAGATAAGGCGATGATTCGGAACGCAAGCTCGTTCGCGAACACACAATAAAAAACAAAGAAGAAACGTCACAATGTTTCAGATACCATTCGGTCGCGTTTGAGCGCGCACGTTCACTGCACTTTCTTTCAATTCTCTCTTTACCGATCACAAATGCAATTTGTCACATTCGCTTTCGTCGTTCTCGACTCCCACTCTCACATGCCTTATTGGTTCAACCTGAAACGATAAATTAGGAGCATGTTTGTCAGAATAAGTTATAATTAGGATTTAATTATGGCTAAAACATATGCTAATTGTTTGTTAAAATATCGTCTATATGCAAAGAATTAATAATATTAATCGATGATTGAATGAACAATAATATAAAAGAATAAATATACTGCGCATAAAAAAGAGCAGAGCCAACTAAAAAAAGTTAGTCGATTAAATGTGATGATTTATTGTTAGTGTCACAAGAGAATATGCGATAGCTACAAAGAAAATATTTCATAAAGTCATCAGAAACAGGTTTATGCGATGTTGATATGTAATTACTACGAGATAATCTGGATTGTCAGATAATTTTTTTTCCAATTATCTTTCATTAACTACTGACCCCATCTTATATTAAAGACATCACGTTTATTTTATTACGCTTCGTATAATTAATAATAATACATTCTCTTTCGGAGAAAAAATCATCAAAATGCTCAAGCATATGTAGACAAAACGTGATTCGTTATCTTCTTATTAAAAATTGATTTCGATATCTTCTTATTAAAAATTTATGATATAAATTGTAATATACATATATGTGTATCTGACCATCTATTATATATAATACCATCCACTATGTGATATGGTATACGCATAATCGATATTGTGATACGACGTTGCGATATTTATAAAAGCCTTACATTGTTATTTGCAAATGACAGGTCAAACTTGTTACCGCTCAAACAAGTAAGTAATTAGGAAAAACCGGTTAAATGCAAAGGTGAAGGATAATCGTATAAAAAAACCGATTTGTTTAATCATTACTTCGACTGAACTGCATTATTGTGAGACGCGTGTGCAAAAGAAATTCGCCTTACAAAGAACAAAGAGAAGATATCAAATTCTTTGTGTTTTATGCAGACGACCGCATTGATCATATCGGTCGTTGAACAACCATGGCGGAATTTTTCTGAAATTTTTAACTTCGTTACGCCACATTACGATCAAGAGGCATCGAATTATTGGATCTCCGACATTAACAATTATGAAAATAGAATTATTCATTGCGCTGAGAAAACGATTACTGTACTTTGCAAATTGATCGCATAGTGAGAAATTTGCTTGCCCGGACTAAGGAATAAACACACCATAAACAAAAATGATCGGTTTTTGAAAGAACAAAAAATGTCTTTTTAGCATTTCTTTTTTTTTAAATCATGTAAGCAATTTTTTGTAAGTTTTTCTGAGAATATTTTTGCAAACATTTTAATGAAAAATGCTTAAAAACATTTTTCATCCTTTAATTCATTTCAAGAGTATAGAATTACTGTATAACAATGAATTTTTGCTGTTGCTTGTCTCACGACATCTTTTGCTCTATTAAATAGTAATTATAATTTATATTATTTATATTTTTAACGTTCCTCAACGATTATAATTGATGCTCATTTATTATTCCTTGCTTTCTATGCAATTAAGATTTAACCTTATCAGATATAAAAGAAAATTATGTAAAATGATGCAAGATAAAAAAATAAGGATCGATGTGATTGTAAATCTGGAATGTGAAATTAATTAATCTATATTAATCAGGACAATCGAATAAATTAAAAAGCGAAAGGCATATAATAACTATGCTTGAACTGACATGATATTTGCATTGTAGATGGATCGTTAAACATTTTATTGTTTTATATGCTAAATAAGTATTTATGTAAATTTCAACTGAAAAGTTAACAATAAGTATTGCATAAAAATTGCGATAATCAATACACACATAATTTCGCAAAATGACATTAATTTGCAGTCAGATACTTTACACCTATATCTATGTGAATAATAAATCCGAACAAAAGAAAGAACAATGCAAATGACGCAACTTTTTATTTCAGTAAATAAAGTGCGATTTTGAAAGTTTAATGCAAAAGGAAAATGGAAACACGTACGCTAATTTGTTAAAATGATAAAATCGATCAAACTCCAACTAATGTTTATGCATGTTGATACATTGAAGAAAAGAATTTATCACAAACTCGTTTATAAATTAATTACTTTTTTAACATAATAAAAAGATGTTTTCCTACAATCCATCATCTTAAATTATATAAGTGTAAACGTGTACGATATAAATAACTCAACATAATATAATAAATAAAAGTATTGATCAACAACAAGTATTGAATAACAACAAGATACATCGCTGAAATCGGAGGAATATATTTGGTGTAATAATCATTTTAATAAAATGGACGCAAGAATCATCACATACAACTATATAATTACATATAACTGTAATACACAACGATTCTGTATTTTTAGTTTTTTTCAGTTTACATAAATTTCAAAAATATGAAATGACGTAAGTATATTTTGTAACATAACTTTCAGCCGCATTTTAATTAGTCACTTTTTGCAACTCATTGCCAAGTACAGCGATTTTGTTATAATTAAACATATATATATATATATGAAGTCGGCGAATCTAATTGGAATTGTAGCGAAGTAAATTTATTTACGTAATAACATCCGATGCAAAAGAACTTCTAACGCATTATTCAGGCAGCTAATAACTAATTGCAGAGACAAAGATCGAGAAATAAAATCGCAGATGTTAGAAGTGTAAAATTACCGTCAAATTCAATTTGACAATAGGGAGTTTTTGCAATAACGTGAATTCAGATACGGTGAACGCTAAAGTCACGCTATCCTTTTTTTAATTAGTTGTTAAGAAGAAAATAACCTGACCTTAGCGTTCACTGTCTGGATAAACGCTATTGCAAAAACTCCCTAATTACTTACGGTAAAATTACGGTAAAATGTATTGGTAATTTTAATAAAATTTGTTGTTTTTTTAATAGTTTTATGCATAAATAGATTTTATTTATGTTTTTCACATTAATGCATAATATAAAACAATATTCTTCTAATATTCTTTTTTATAATAGTTATATCGAAAATATAAATCGCTGATAGAATAATAATAGGACTGTTCATTAAATCTAAACGTAAAATTTAATCGATGATAAAATCCATTTTCAATATATTTCAATATATCCCTAGAGATTTGACCAAACACTGACCAAAAAATAGAAAGCAATGCGAATTAAAAATTCCAGCATTTTTTTTTACATAATTCCTTGTTTCATATTTTAAAATCTAGTTTTTTACTAAATTACTTAAAATTATTATATATTTCTATTTAGATATTTCGACAGTAGTGCAATTACAAAAAGATTATTTTATTTTTTATGTATAATTGTGTCTGTGTTTTTACTTTAATAAAAACTTTAACCGTCTCGTCGCTAAAATAGCAAACAAATAAATGAAAGTTTTATAAGTTTAATTGTAAAATAAAAAAAATATAAAATATATATATAAGTTTAATTGTAAAAAATAAAAAATATAAAAGTATATATATAAGTTTAATTGTAAAATAAAAAACAAAATAGTTTAAAGATTACTGTACTTGTTACATGTTTTTCAGAATCCTAATAAAAAAAACTTATTTGAAGTTTCTTTAGTTTAGACTACGTACCTAGTCTTTTAATTGTCATATATTCAATATAGATAATATAATTAAAAGAAATAATATTACATATTAATATTTACACATATTGGTATACAATATATTATATATACCAATATGTAATATCAAAATGAAAATATGAGTTAAATAAAGCGTTTTGAATTTAATAACTAAAAGCTAAATGCTTTTACATTAAATTATTTTATAATTTAATGTATAACTTTTATAATTTTTTTAAAATTACCATTTTACCAGCTTCCTAAAATTACAGACTAATTTACCGTAATTTACCGAATAAATTACCGTCAAATTTGGTCATTTTCATCTCTAGCAGACGTACATATGTAGGCATAATTTCACGAGTATGCTCTAAATTTACTATCTTAAACAATCTGAAGACGCGAGGACGGCTCTCACGTTCTCAAGATCAACAATGATAAGTCTATCGAGTTACTCATTGTTTATGTTGAATGCACAATGGTAGTATCTTCAAGAACGAACTTTAAAAAAAATGAGACATACGTACATCTCCGAGGATGATTTTGTTAAAAAAAATCGAAAGAATTTCTCCGATGCGCTAACATTAAAAAACCTGTTACTTCGGTCGTTCACTAATAAGTTCACCCATCGTGACTCGTAAACACGTTATATTAAATTTTACACCGACGCACGATTTCGGGACTGTGTGACCCTAGAAAGCTTAAGAATTAATAAAGAGATAGCAGTTACTTTTCGATATTCCGAGAAATTTTTCCGCATATTTTTCCGAAATTGAAAAACATCGATAAAAAGTCATTTATTTGTTTACTAGTTTTTCAACGCGTAACTGTTAATATATTGTCAATAAATGTTTATCCAAATATGTAAAATCTGTATATTTTATCGCAAATTACAATTTTACACCGCGCCAAACTTATATAAAAGGAGTGCTTCCTTCCATTTAGACAGCATGATTCTCATGCGATTGTGCATAATGGATTCAAGGTAATGAATACATTTTATCAACAGATTATAGCAACACCTTTTTTTTGTTAAAAAAAAAAGAAAAAGAAGAATTATGTTCTATGAGTTTTTGCGTAAATTTTATTGCTGAACAGATATACAGAGATCTATCGCGTAATAAAATTACGCATTGATGTCATAGTATAAATTAATTATACGCCGCTGATAATGCAATTTTCGAAGCGAATAGTTTTTTTCGAAGTGGAGTTTTATTTTATTTATCGCGAATAGTCATTGTGATTAAAGATCTCACAGAAAAATTAACAGAAATTAAAAAAATTTTATAAAGATATATCATACGAACGTATTAAGGATCTATTTTTTAATAAAATAAAAAAATTAATATAATAAAATAAAATAAATTAGCAGCGATTTAGAATCAAAAATTATTTCATTAAAAAGCAGATATATTTTTAAAAAATAATTATCATAAAATGAGATTTTTGGTTCCTTAATTAAAATTAATTATAATTTATTAGTCTTTTATTCATAA